TGACACAGAAAAACCATGGCTTGTAGAAATAATTCATTATTCCTGAGTCCATCTGATTATTCCACATTTCTGTCTGCTTAACTGTCATTTCAGACTGGATATCTTGCTGTTTTCATACTCGTTATCAACTTATCTATCAGCAAACCTACCATTGTCCTCAACTGGCTTTCTTGCTCATCTTACCAATGTCTTGTTAATGTGACTCAAGCCTCACAGACTCAGAATCACAGAGCTAGCTGGCCACCCAGTTCCCTTGTCTCCACTTGCAGATGAGGAAACTGAGGCCCCAGAAAGGAAAGGAAGGAGCGATGATACACAGCTCTTCTGTGGAGAAGCCAGAGCTGAGACTCTGTCTGCTAGCTGAAGTCCCAGGCACCCCTTCCTCTGCACCTCTTGACCTCTTGAGGCTTCTTCCCACAAGTTGTTCTTTGTCTTCTGTCTCTTTGCCGCCTCCAGGGCCTCCCCGCCTTATACCTGGTCTGTGGCCAAGGGCCCTGATGGGCCTTTCTCTCACAGATCACACAATCCTTCCTCCTCTTGGCCATCATTATCTCCTTGCTAGAATACTAGTTTACACTGGACTGGGAGTTAGGAGATCTGAGCTGTGGTCTTGAACTCTTGGTGTCACCAGAGTTTTTGATATTTAAGTTTACCTGACCTTAAAATTCAATTCCTGGGGCGCCTGGGTGGCTCAGTCGGTTGAGCGTCCGGCTTTGGCTCAGGTCATGATCTCACTGTGGGTTCGAGTCCTGTGTTGGGCTCTGTGTTGACAGCTAGCTCAGAGCCTGGAGCCTGTCTTTGGATTCTGTGTTTCCCTCTCTCTCTCTGATCCTCCCCTGCACATGCTGTTTCTATCTCTCTCTCAAAAATAAATAAAACACTAAAAAAAAACTCAATTTCTAACTGAAGCGGCATTGCCACATAGGAATATGTGGAAATGCTTAGGGTATTTTGTTTTGTTGTTTGTTTTGGTTGTCATAGTGACTGGTGAGGTGAGGGCACTCCTGACATTTAATGGACATGACTAGGTAAAAAGGTCCAGCAACGACACAGGACAATTCTATACTTCATAAAGCTGTCCTTAAAATGCCAATAACCTTCTCTTGAAAGACGATGCGTGACTTGATCTCTAAAGCCCATTTTTACACAAAAACCATCAGATTATTCCTCTCAAATTCATTCAATGGGCTTGTAAGAAAGTGCCAACCATGTGGCATTCAAAGCTTAACAAAAACCAAGACAAAAACCTAGTGGGAATGGTATTCTGGTCATATTCGTTGTCTCTATACTGACCTTTCTCAATCCTACTGCTGCATCTCTCCTTAGGCTGTGTCTCTGGGGGGGGTGCCCTTCATCTTCCTTTGTTCCTTGCTAGATTCTACCAATTTTTTAGGGTTAGGTCAGGTACCTTAAAGACGCCTTTCCTTGGCCTCTTTTGAACTCCTATTGCACTTGTCCAAACATCTCTCCTGGTCCTCAATCATATTCTAATTGTTCTTGTTACTTAATTATGTGTTTTGTTTTTTTTTAATTTTTGTGGCCTGGCTTCAAACATAGAACACAAAATTCTCCTGGGCAGGGATCATATCTCATACTTCTTTGCATTCCACAGTGCTCAGAGCAGGCCATGTACTTAATCAATGTTTGTTGAACAAAATCACATCACGGCAAACATAATTAACCTTTCTCACTACCCTCTCCCTCTGTTTTTATATCAAGAGCCTCCCATCTTCTCATTCCCAGACTGTGGGCTCTCACAGCAGGAGGAATCAGATATTTGTTTTCATAGAGGCTGGGTCTTTGTTTTCTCTGGTATGCTGCCTCTAGATCAGATATTCTCTGCCTCCCAGATTTTCTCTCTGTTGCTTTTCTTGGTTTCTTCCCTGTGTCAGTGCAAAGCTACCAAGAGAGAGGGGATGCGCAGAGGGATGGGAGGGGTTGAAAACGTATGAACTGAATCAGTTGGCAAGTGGATGAATTAGGAAGAATGTAGATGGCTGGTGCACACTGATGCCCTCTCATTGTTATGTGTTACAGTCTTTTTTGACTGATGCAGGTGGTACTTTGTCATTAATGTTGGTATTCAATGTAACTGGGCTTGGGCTATTCAATTGTATTAAATAAATGTTTTAGAACCAGTAATGCAAGAGGTACTCATGATCTTAATCCTGTTTCAACAGAAATGTTTTAATACTTGCTTTTTCAGCTTCATTTCTTATAAATGTGAGAGATCTATAGCTTTAGAGGGTTCCTCTTAGATTGAGTAATCTACATTTCTGTTTTAGCAGGAAACAACCTCCTTGACCTCCACCGCAGCAACTTCTTACCTGACACATCCCCAAAAGCAAGGGAATCAAGAGCAAAAATAAACGATTGAGACCTCATCAAGATTAAAAGCTTCTGCACAGCAAAGGAAACAACCCACAAAACTAATAGGCAACCAAAGGAATGGGAAAAGATAGTTGCAAATGACATATCAGATAAAGGGTTAATATCCAAATTCTATAAGGAACTCACCAAACTCCACACCCGAAAAACAAACAACCCAGTGAAGAAATGGGCAGAAGATATGAACAGACACTTCTCCAAAGAGGACATCCAGATGGCCAACAAACACCTGAAACGATGCTCAGCATCCCTCCTCATCAGGGAAATACAAATCAAAACCACACTGAGATACCACCTCATGCCAGTCAGAGTGGCTAAAATGAGCAAATCAGAGAACTCTAGATGCTGGTGAGGATGTGGAGAAACGGGCACTCTCCTACCCTGTGGGTGGGAATGTAAACTGGCACAGCCCCTCTGGAAAACAGTGTGGAGGTTCCTCAGGAAACTAACAATAGAACTCCCTTATGGCCCAGCAATAGCACTGCTAGGAATTTACCCAAGGGATACAGGAGTGCTGAGGCATAGGGGCATATGTACCCCAGTGTTCATAGCAGCACTCTCCACAGTAGCTAAAACAGGGAAAGAGCCTAAGTGTCCATCAACGGACAAATAGATCAAGAAGATGTGGTTTATCTATACCATGGAATACTCCATGGCAATGAGAAAGAATGAAATCTGGCCATGTGGAGCAACATGGATGGACCTTGAGGGTGTTATGCTGAGCGAAATAAGCCAGGCAGAGAAGGACAGATACCATATGTTTGCATGTATAGGAGGATTAGGAGGAACTTAACTGAGGAACAAGGGGGAGAAGAAGGGGAGAAATGGTGGGGGAAAGGGAGAGAGGCAAACCATGAGAGACTCTTGAATGCTGACAAAAACTGAGGGCTGATGGATGTAGGGGGGAGGGGGGATGGGCATGGAGAGGGGCACTTGTGGGGATGAGCACTGGGTGTTATGTGGAAACTAATTTGACAATAAACTATTTGTAAAAAAAAAAATGTGGTCACTCTATATTAACACTGAACTGCCTTAAAATTAAAGAACTTGGTTATTTTAAATAAACAGCATATTTCAAACTGATGCAGAGTTTTGAATCCCTCCACGGTTATCTCATAACGCTGGTACTTTCTGAACTATTGTAAAAGTGCCGCCAGAGAAGGATACAATGCATGTTGAGCTGGGAAGTTGGGGCACTGCCTCCTGCAATCTGTGAATGTGTCTGCTGCTAAGTACGTGCTACCTGAGCATCCTGGCACCCATATAAGCCTTGGGGATGCAAAATACGCCTTCTCTGCATCGTCACATATACATATTACATATATGCAGAAAGAGAGAATTAACATGCTTTCAGCAGTTTCCTAAGACAATACTTAAGATAAGCCATGAAAGAAAAATTCATTTTATCACACTGATCTTAAACAATGAATGCTCTTGGGTGGAAACAGTTATGCCTGTCAGAGTATTCAGATGATTTCCTTAAAAAGTAGTAAAGTGGTGCCGATAACACCAGCAGCAGGCCCTTCCTCTGAGACCTAGGTTTGCTATCTGGAGTCTGTTGGGTAGACTGTTATTTTCCCCATTTCTCCTGAGAGGTTCGCTCTAGTTCTCCTAGGAATGACTCTTCCTAGGGGGTGGGGAAGGGGGACACACACACACACACACATATATATATATATATATACATCTTTTTTCCTACACTATTTTTTCATTTTTTACTTCATTGTAATCCAACTCTACAAGCTGTTTCATGAGAAGTGGTTCCTAAGCACCCACGTCTCCTGAGAGAAACCAGGGGTGGCTTCTATGAAAACATGGTACCAACACTTGGGAAATGTCAGTCAAGACATAAGGAAGGATTTGCTCAAAATATTGTCAGGAACTGACTAGAAGTAGAAAAGAGCTACGTTTTGAGTTTTGGCTTGGGAAAGGAGGCCAGGAAAGGGTATGGGATACAGAGACAGTAATTCAGGAAGGCAAAGCACATGATGTTTTAAGAAGGATGGCAGCTTTTCATTATTCAGTGGAAGGTAACCACAGGCAGGGGAAACACATTAAACCAGAAAAGAGCACATGGTAGGATGGGAACAGAGTATTCCTGTGCCCTGTTGATTTCCCCTAATCGTTACTATATATATATTATTGATGGGAACTGAGTATCCAGGTGCTTTGTTGATTTCCCCCAATCTATAGTCCATATACATAGTATTGATGTCTTCTCCAGGATCAATGAAGAGCCAGAAGTTTAATGTCAGTCATACACTGTATGATCTATTAAGAATTTCCACGTGACTGGAAGGCCTAAGGAAGCACAGCTCCAGCCATAATGTAGGGATCTCCTGACACTGCATTTTCAATTTCCTTTAAGCTACACAGATGTTTCATAGTGACGACTGTTAGGACAAAAGGGGAGAGAGAAGGAAGGCGATCTGAAGATGGGTCTAGGGACATCAGTGGGTGTCCTTGACTTATCATTCTTCTACAGAGCGGTGTGGAGATGGCAGAGCCCCTTGGGGAACAGGCAGTGCTCGATCCCAGCCACTAAAGCAGGGCTGGCCCCACAGAGGAGGGTCCCGAGGAACGGGAAGGTGGCAGGGGGCCTGGGGTGTTACCTCTCCAGCGCTGTAACTCCGGAGCCTCTGGAGGTGCTGTCGATGTGTCAGGTGATTGGGAAGACGACCATTCTGAAGAGGGATTCGGGGGTCAATGAAAGTGGTGGCTCGACTGTTGTGGTCCACGAAAAAAGACTGCGGACAGACCAATAAAAAGAACACTGTGTGAGAATGAGCCAGAATGAAGTCAGCGACGTAAGGGAACGACACAGGGCTCAGTCTTCATGTTTATTTCTGTCCCTCCTTTTTATCTGCTCAAAACTACACTGAAGACTGGGGCACCGTGCATCTGTTTGCTCAGTAGTTGAATGAAACAAAACCAGTCATTGATGAACACTTTACAGTACAGAGTTACAGAGTCATGATCACAACATTTTATTTACGATGGAAAAAAAGCGAAATGGAGCCTTTGATACAGTAAAATAACTAGAAATTCATAATTTGTGAAGCATTCTACTTATTTTTAAACAAATGCTCTTTTTTGGTTAAAGAATTAGCACAGTCTCACTGAGAAGAAACTTTAAAGGGATAAAAAAGTAAGAAGAAAACCAAAATCATTCTAAATGTCACAATCTAAGGGTAATCACCAAAATATTTTGATGAGTTTTTTCCTTTTTTTTCTTCTCCGATGCAAATATACAATTATCCACATCTTTTCCCCGCATTGGCAGTTACAATTTTGTTGGAAGATTTTTTTTCACCTATTATTTTATGAGCATTTCCCTAAGTCATTAGACATTCTTTTAACACGGAATTTTATTAAGTATATGGTACTCAGCTTGATGGATACATAATAATTTCAGTACTTTCTGTCATTGGACATTTTATGTTTTTACTGTTTTATTTTATTTTTAAAAAAGTTTTAAATGTTTTTCATTTATTTCTGAGAGACAGAGAGAGAAAGACAGAGTGAGCAGGGGAGGGTCAGAGAGAGGGAGACACAGAATCCAAAACAGGCTCCAGGCTCTGAGCTGTCAGCACAAAGCCCGAAGCCGGGCTTGAACCCATGAACCGCGAGATCATGACCTGAGCGGAAGTCAGACACCTACCCGACTGAGCCACCCAGGCGCCTCACGTTTTTACTGTTTTAAAATAATGCTTCAATAAACACTCTTCATAAATCTTTGCAGCATGTCTGATTACATGTTCCAGTATATGACAAAAGTTATTCTTTAAATCTAAAATTACTTCTCATAAAAGAGAAAATTAATACTTTCTTAAAAAAACCCTTTTGTACTACTAAGCAATCTTTCAAATACTGTCTTTTGAACAAAATAATGTTTGATAAAGGTGACTTGCTCTTAAAGACCTCAACCAATGCTCGTTTTAGACATGTTCAGCTGTCACCTGATAGAAGTAGTCAAAGGAATTGTATACAGATTTAAAAATTATTCTTGGGAGGAGCCTGGGTGGCTTAGTCGGTTGGACGTCCGACTTTCGCTTAGGTCATGATCTCGTGGTTTGTGGGTTCGAGCCCCGCGTCGGGCTCTGTGCTGACAGCTCAGAGCCTGGAGCCTGTTTCAGAGTCTGTGTCTCCCTCTCTCTCTGACCCTCCCCTGCTCACGCTGTCTCTCTCTCTCTCCTAGAAATAAATAAAAATATTTAAAAAAAAATTACTCTTGGGAGGTATGAGCTTACAATTTCAAGTACTAGATGTCATTGTAAACAAGTCTCTTTTGTAGGCTCTGTAGCCTACAAAATAGCTAGTTTTAGGAAGAGCTCTATAAAACGGAAGTGGTTTCATTATGGAGACCAAAAGATTGAGAGAACAGAGTAACTCCAGTAATACTATGTCAGTCAGTATCTGTGGCTTGCAGTAGAATTCCCAGGACAGCATCCCACACAGATTGAAAAAGGGCTGCATGTCCAGTAAGTTGGATGGGACTGAAGAAGACATGCTTGAAAAACTAGGTTGGGTGGCTCCAAAGTGACACTAGTGATATCAAAAAGATGAGTAAAGAATCTGAAGAAGAAAAAAGTGTGAGTGGAGGGGAAAAAACGTGTATCAACATGTTTACATAATGAGATTTTAAACACACAACTGTAAGCTAAATTCAGAATTTCAAGGTGATTTTTTATTACTCAACTCTATGCCTGCACGTTTATAAATTAAAGTTAAATGGGTTTCTTATATTTGTGCGTACGTGGCAATTCTTTAGTACAATTCCTAAAAGCTGAGTTAAAAGAAAAATTTTGCTTATTGATCTATATTAACAAATTACCTTCATGAGAGCTGTACATATTTATTCTCTTACCCTAAGTCCATGAACACTTTTCATGGATTTCACAAATGCTGAGTATTTGAAAGACTTCTTAGGCTGAATGGTAAATAATGCTGAATTATCATCTACAGGGAAAACCAAACATTTTCTCAGGTTTATTGGTCACTTTCTTCATTGGAGTACTGGTGACTTTGTTCCCTTTTGTATTGCTGTTGTTGGGATGTTAAGGCTTTCTTATTTATTTCTAAATGTGCTTAAAGTTTAATTATTTTGAGAGGGAGAATGCAAGCGGGGGGGGAGGGGCAGAGAGAGAGAGAGAGAGAGAGAGAGAGAGAGAATCCCAAGTAGGCTCTGTGCAATCAGTGCAGACCCTGATGTGGGGCTTGAACTCACAAACCATGAGACCATGACCTCAGCTGAAGTTGGACATGTAACCCACTCAGCCACCCAAGCGCCCCATCTTCTAGATTTTCTAACTTTGATTTCAAACATTTACATAACTAGGTATACCTTTTATTTTTAAAATTTCCCTGCATCTCTTATAACTCATTCCTTGGTTTTATTTACTATTTTCCTTAGATTGATTTATTTCTCTTCTAAGCAACTCTTACATTTATTTGATATTGTTTTCCAGTTCACGCACTTCTGGGTTTTTATTGTCAAATAGATTTTGAAATAAATTTTTGCTTCAATTACTGTTCCTTTTTTTTTTTAACCTTCCCTAAGTTATTAATTTGAAAGCTTATATTTTAATGTTTTTCTTGCTTAATAATAAAAACCAATGTGCTCAATCCTTTCAGTACAGTCTTAACATTTTATTAAGTACTGGTGACCTGCATTTTCAATAATTTTTCAATGGTTTGTAAGTCTTGATTTCATTTAAAACCCAATAGTCATGAAGAGTATTGTTTTGAATTTCCAACTGGCAAATAGTTGGTTTTTGATGGTTGTGTTGTTATTGTTTATTTTTGTTGTTGCTTCAAGTTTTTATTTAAATTTCAGTTAGTTAATATACAGTGGGATATTGGTTTCAAATGTAGGATTTAGTGATTCAACACTCACATATAACACCCAGTGCTCTCATAACAACTGCCCTCCTTAATCCCCATCCACCGTCTAGCCCATGCCCCACCCACATCCTTCTATCAGTCCTCAGTTTGTTCTCTACATTTAAGAGTCTGTTTTTTGGGGGGCGCCTGGGTGGCTTAGTCGGCTAAGCGTCCGACTTTCGCTTAGGTCATGATCTCGCGGTTCGTGGGTTCGAGCCCCGCGTCGGGTTCTGTGCTGACTGCCAGCTCAGAGCCTGGAGCCTGTTTCGGTCTGTGACTCCCTCTCTCTCTGACCCTCCCCTGCTCACGCTGTCTCTCTCTACTAGAAATAAATAAAACATTTAAAAAAAAAAAAAAAAAAAAGAGTCTGTTTTTTGGTTTGCCTTTCTGTCTGCCCCCCGCCCCATGTTCATCTATTTCATTTCTTAAATTCCACATACTAGTGGAACCCTATGGTATTTGTCTTTTTCTGACTGACTTTAAATTTATTGTTTAAAATTTAGCTCTATTGCTTATGGCCATAGAATGTGACCTGAGTATTTTATGACTTTTTGTTTACTTTGTGTTATGGAATATTATCCCCTACAAAAAATTCCATAGGATCTCGTAAAGAAGTTGTAAACTGTTTTCTTCCTTATTAAAAGAATTGTGGTAAAATGTATAAAACACAAATTTTGCCCTTTTAATAATTAAGTGTATAATTTAGTGGCATTAATTACATTCTGAGTGTCATGCAACCATCACTACTATTCATTTCCTGAATTTTTTCATCTTCCCAGACTGAAACTCTGTGCTCATTGAACACTAACCCCTCATTGCCTATTTCCCCCAGTCCCTGGGAACTTCTATTCTACTTTCTGTCTCTATGAATTTGACTGTGTTTAGGTACCTCATGTGAGATATAATACTTGTCTTTTTGTTTCTGGTCCATCCATGTTGTAACGTGTCAGCATTTCATTCCTTTTTAAGGATGCATAATCTTCCACTGTATGTACATACATTTTGTTTATCCATTTGTGTAACTCTACTTTTTTCCACCTTTATTGACAAATAAAATTGTATGTAACTAAGCTCTATGTTAGCTGTTTTTAACAGCAGTGTATAAGTTCCATCAAGACACAATTATATTATTCAAATCCTGACTTATTTTGTCTACCTGTCAAACTGATGGATATAAAACACATTTTCCTACTGTGTATTTATTTCATTTCCTTTTGTATCTCTCTTTGAGTTTTCTTTGTATGATATAATGTTATTTCGCTCATAAGATATATGATTATTGTATCTTTAGTTGTGCCATTGATTAATATAAAATCTTACTTTGACTCCATTTAATGGCTCTGGATTTGAACTTTCCTTTGCATGGTATGAATATACCACCACTGATTTTCCTGTTATTGTTTTCCAATTCTATTAACATTTATTCTTTTATTTTTTAAACTCTCTGAATCATTTCTTGGGTATGTCTTTTAATAAGCTGGATCTGTTTGTTACTAAATCTGAAAGTGTTTTTGGTATGCAGATTTATCCTATTTCCACCTATCACTATGACTATTATGCTTGGCTGCACTTCTGTTATTTTATTTTTATTATTTCCAATATCTTTGCTTCCTGGTGTTTGGTGTTTTGCTATGTAAATTGTATTTTGCTTGATTTTATTTTTGTAGGAACGTGAAACAGAAAATCTTGCCCTCAATGGTACAAATAATTGCCTTTTAAGTCGATCAAATAACTAAATTTAGTCCTTGTTTTTCAAATTATCCAATTTGACTCCTCTTACACTCAACTGGGGACTTGGCACAACTTTCCTTGCCCCATTCTCTGGCCCTCTTACTGATTTCTCGTCAATTTTTTCCAGGCTAGC